AAAAGCTAATATTCTATAGGACCTTCCAGCGCATGAGAGTAACAATGATACAGGAGTTACCGGAAATGCAAGAACGTATTTAGGAAATAGAGAAGCGGGTTCGGAGTTTAGACGTGGGAGAGTTATCGAAGGCGGGTGGGTTGTATTGTTCTACCATTTTATTTTCTTTCCAGGGAATCAAGAACTTGTATTCCCATAGGGGGGAAATACCGCATGCCCGGGTTTCACTCCAGATTATGTTCGCACGATCTACAAAGCAGAGAAAGTAACAGAAATATTACCTTCGCCATGTGAATTCATCATACTTCAATTATATTTATTATCCTAGCGTCGGCAAACTAGAATATAATTAGCATCATACAGCAGCACGTCTTCGTGATACCGAGTGATATTCTCTGATGCACATCATTCCCACCCGCCTGCCTAGCCGACTGACATGATTATCCTCAGAAGGGTTGACTAAATATAGTGTGGGGTGAGGAAAAACCTCTGTTCCCATGAACGAAACTTTTTATTTCGCCCTTCTTTACTTTTCCTTCCTATCCTCTCGCGACATGTCAAATTTCTTGCCCAGAGGCGGCGGGATTCGGAATGGTATAATTGGTCACTGTAGATGTGCGGAGCGTGGTGTGCTTCCTACCATATTTGCCTGCCAGGGGAAAATTCTTGAAGTTAGTCAACGAATTCAAACTGCAGAGGCCAACAATGATCACCGAACAATGCTCGAGCATGAAATATAAAGCACTCCCACCACCCCGAGCTGACCCGGAACAGGGCTCGCCATTATGAGCTTGTGCGAGTATAATCCCGGTAATCGCGATCGAGAAGGCTTTGGACCAGGAAGCGGGTCAGAACTGGGAAGTGGATCAAGGAAAAAATAGACCGAAAAAGTGGAAATCCGAAAAAATCCAATTGAGGCCCACAACATTAGGAAGGAAGGCGGAGTACGGAAGCGTAGGAGGTACGAGGTATAGCACATTATTTCAGAACCCGGAGGCCGAAATTTCCGCAATGAGGATTCGAACATAATTCACGTACAAAAGTGATTCACCTCTGCGCCCAATACGTTCAGCTTCTCCCGTGCTACGGAATAATTACACTTTTTTTTTTCCCTATCACCGAACAACCTTTTTCAAGGCTCACTTTGAGCCGCAGTGATCTCCGCAACATGCAGCACTCCGTGTAGGGGTACTTGTCCCAGGAGTAGGCACTATAAGGTTGCGTCGTGGAGAGATACTGCTACAACCCACAACTGATCATTCGGCGCTCAACACAATAGTCTATCTCCTCGACTTACATATGTTGCTGCATGAGCCCCCCTCCCCTCTCTCTCTGTGTGTGTTTTGATAGACACTAAAGGCCTCGGCTGGAGGTGTTAGTCTGCGCGCACCCACCGCCGTCATGATAAAACGGCCACTGTTACTACCGCATGCCTCATTTTATAGCCTACCCTGCAGGCAAAGGCATGTATTATGTTATTTAAGGATTATGATTATATTGGCACTAGATCCATATCGCAGGGACCCCGACCTCTCTCACAACATAGCTCCCTGACACAGCCCGAGTTTAGGAATAGTTCGAGTATGGCAATAGTATAGATGCTACCTACCGGTCATTTCACAGCAAGGGCTCCCCGATGATACTGCCTCTGGTAAAGGTTTAAGATTAACCTAGGTCATTGACCGTACTAAAAAGCTGTGGAATATGCATAATACGGACAAGCCAGGATGGCACCTCAATACTTAAAGCGCAGCTACAATATCAATCCCAGCGACCTCTCGAACCCAACAGTCTACCGCAGACTCCATCGAGCACCGACATGGCGAAACCCGATTGACGTAGACCAGCACACACCGCCGCCGGTATGTACAGTACCCAGGCTTCCACTCCACCAGGAAGGAGTCAATCCCATGCCACAGACAGCAAAGATAGACCAACTCCCCACTCCCCACGGAGAGTATACTTCAACCCAATTTTTTTGCATGTAGGGTGGGCACAACACCGCTCTCTCGGGCTTCTGAGAGCACTTCCAGGAAAGTAGTAGAGCTGAGGTCGCAATATGTGTGAAATATACTCGGCCATGCGAGTATCGAAAGCTCCCACCTGGTCACTCGGACTAGTTGATGCCGGTACTGTACAGTGCTGAGCAGGATAGGTGTCGAGGGGTGCGAGTGGGTCAGAGTTTTTTTTTCGTTCAGGTCAAGTACTCGTACTGACATAGCTGCTCTCGGGTGTCCAAGTGGGAAGGTTTCCTGTCACTAGGATCTTCCAATCCTTGGGCAGTTCGGGCGACTTCAGAGACGAAAAGGAAAAATTGGAAGAAAAGTATCTTTCACTAGCTCCGCTCCTCTTCGTCTGGTATCCCGCCCTCTCCCTCCCTGTTCGACCAAGAAGGGGAAAAATCCCCCCCTACACCTCCCAGAACCACGAGAATCCGTAACAGTTCCCCAGTTTCGCAATCACCCACGAAATAGCTCGCCGCTACACCTCAACGACTACAAAGACGATTACGTCCCCAACATTGCGATGTCTACTCCGGGGAAGGGCGGTGTTCGCTACCCCATCGTGCCAGGTACCCTAAGAAGACTACCCCAATAGCAGTCCTCGTCCTACAAGCCTATGTGTCAATGAAATTTGTGATATCCACTTGGGTTGTTGAATTAGAGTTAGCGCTATAATTATCACCTCAGATGACGAAACTGTCCCTCCACTGCCACTACCGCGGGTGGGTATGGCACTACAGTGTCGCTCCCACCAAAGTATCATACCACCTCCTCCCCTACAAACCCCAACACAAGCAACCATCCTCGGCGTCAAAACTCACAATCCCTCACTCTCGACCATGCATGACCTTACTCAATACAACTCCAGCTGACGTTTATCTCACCCCAAAATGATACAAATATCTGCGCACACTTTCACTTAATGGTTCTCTCGATATTATCCTCCTTGACCGCCGACCTCTTTCCCGTGTTGTCGTTCTCGATCTGACAAGCATTAGTAACGACGTTCAGTATGATGAAATGATGAATAACGCACCTCGTAGCGGGGATCGTGAAGAGAAGCTTTCACCGTGACACCGGTAGAACCAGCGGCGTCGGGCTCGGTCATGACACGAGTGATAGTTCCGGTGCTAGTTGAGGTTCCGGATCTACCTGTTCTGACAGTCATCATCCTATCCCATCCATCCACCCATTCATCCATTCATCCAGTCATACTATCAGCGTAAAGGCGAATGCTCACCTCCAATAGGATGATATTCAACCTTCTGGCCTTCCTTGTACTTGGGAGACGACATAATCGCAGAAGTACCCAACAGTCTTGAACGAGCTTGTAACGTAATAGTAGTAGATGTGGTAGTCGGCTCAAAAAACCTTGCAGTGGATGGAATGAGTCTGAAAGACTGTCGCTTCATCACGTCGCCTGGTGAAATACTAGAGATTTAAGACCGAAAACTACTCGAGTAGGGGCCGGTGCCCCAGGTTTTATGAGAAGAGGTGGAGACATGGTTTAAGTTCTCCGCTGAGACACTTTCTGGTCACTGGAGCTGAATCGGTATGACGTCTGGGTGGCTGGCAGATCGAGGCCTTTTCTCTTAGCGTTGACGCAATATCCCATGTGAGGATAAGTTAGTGGAATGAGTCCAGGGCAGCGTGGGAGTAGTCTACGAGTACTAGTACTCGTAGGTGGTATTGACTCATGGGACTTCTTCTGACCCAGCTATTGGTAGTCTGAATTATACTCGCACTCGAGTACGAGTACTGTATGAGAGCCGCGGTTCTTTCGATGGTGCTAGGGAAGCGCATCCGCCTATTGCTGAAGCAACTGTGACGTACCGCTGCGATACGATGCCTAACCCTTAGCCTACCGGTATAATATCGATTCCAGGGAACTCACAGCTGCAGAAAGAAACACGCTCAAGGAACCCCAGAGGTATCGGAAACCTTGAGGTGAGGGTAGATTTTATCTACGAAATAACTACGGTTGTCTAGTTGGGTACGAGTAGACTACAGCGCCGTGCTAGGAGTACTGTACGAGTAGAGACATTGATGCCCTGCACAGAACCCCTAGTAGTGATATTGTCGACAGAGGCCTGGCAGTTCTCCCAAGCAAACATTCCAATTGCTAAATCAGACTAGCCAAGTGCTCGAGTAGGTTACCCACCATGGAAGCTCGTTCGACTCGTTCCTCCCATCGGCACCCCAAACCAATTGCAAAGACGAGTGATATATGGTGACCCCTCTCTACGTCACAGGAGCTTAATACCAGATACTACAGCACCTGGCCCGCGCACGGAACAAAACACTATTCGTCAAATCGTTCGGGTCTTATTCCGTCTGCAAGCGGTGCAGAACATTAAGGATCGCGGCTTGTAAACTACAAGTATCAGAGCGATATAACCCACTTGACAACCTCAACCTGTATTCAACACGCATCAGGGCGCTTGGGCTATCATACACAATTCAAATTATAGCAAGGGACATTGGAACAAACATTAGAGTGGTTGATCAATATCTAGGATAATTATGTATAAAACCTGGCATCTCCAATAGCCAATTGTGATATTGAGCATAGACTATTTAGCAATACTATCGAGATAGGGGTAGTAGACTAATATGAAGACACAACTCATACGCGCGGAACAGCATTACATAAAAAGCGGCCTCAAGACTAACACAATCACCAAGGCCATAACATACCCCACCAAAAAAACTAGCCCCCCCGCCAGACCATCGGTATTCTAAACCCTCCCCAACCAGGGGCGCTGCAGACCTGCTAAACCGCCTCCCCAAAACCAACAAAGCTATGAGAGAGGAAGAAGAAAAAAATCAACGAAATTATCGACACCGAAAGAAAAGTAACCGCAAGTAACCAGAAATTAAGAGAACTCAGAGAGCAATGCTGATTCGATTAAGGCACTTGTTCTCAGCGCTAAGAATAGAAATACTATAGATAAAACCCCCCCACCACTCAACACACACACACCCTCCTCTCCCCCCTTATCTCTCAGTCCTGCCCCAAAAGTTCGATAAAAATCCTGCCTTCTTGGCGGGCGCGGCGGCAGCCTTCTTAGCACTATTAATTACATGCTTACCTGCCACTTCCCCCTCGTCATCACTGCTCTCACTCTCACCACTCTCGCTGCTGTCATCGCTGCTGTCATCGTCTCCGTCATGCGCTTTGCGGACTGTGCCTGAAGGTGGTGGATTTGGTGGTGTTCGTGAGGAATGTATGTCGTGCACGTCTGGTACGGGCATTTTTTCTAGATCGCTGAGGGATCTGTAGGGTTGTGGGGGGGGTCTGGTTTTTGCAGAGGCGGTGGCAGGCTTAGTTGTTGGAGCAGGTTCAAAGTCAGACTCTGACGCTGAGCCAATTTCTTCATCTCCCTCTGAACCGCTTTCAGAGTTAGTTTCCGTAGATGGGGTAGCAGGTGCTATGATGGGAGTTTTCCTGGCGAGTTGGGGGCTAGCGCGGGAGGAGCGCCGAGAGCTCTGATAGGTGCTCGGGGGTGTCTTTAAAGAGTTTGTGGTAGTAAAAGAGGAGGCTTTTAGCGTCAGCAATGGAGAAGCGTTTTTGGCACTCTTGACACGAGCTGTACTCTTCTTGAGGACTGATGATTTCGAGCTCGGCTTTGCCTCCTCTTCCTCCTCTTCCTCCGACTCCTCTGAGTCCTCACTGGTACTATACTCAGACTCGCTATCAGATTTCAGAGATGGTTTTGACTTCAGAGTTGGCTCCTCCACCCCTTGTCCCTGCGGGGAAGCCTGAGCTGGTACTAAACTTGGCTGTGGAGAGGCCTTCTTTGCTGTAGCAGGTTTGGGAGGAAGTATGGCCAATTTTGTCTTTTTGGCAGGTGACTCTGTCTCTGCCGCAGGCCTTGCTGGGGTCTTCATTACGACAGCTTCCACAACCAGTTTATTTGCACTGTAGCCAGGAGGTAATATCGGGGTGACCTTTGATCCTAAAACTGGCGCTGGTGTATTCTTTTTTCCAATGGGGGTGGGCGAAGCTATTTCAGTCGGATCTTCCGCAAAGGAAACTGATGACCGCTTTCTTGAACCCTCAAGGATTTTAGTCTTAAGGTTGCTCCTCTTGAGTGTTGAATTAGGGGTTGGAGCCGGTGACTCGGAGTCAGCCATCAGAACCTGAGGTGGCAACTGAGAGGAGAGTGTTTCTTTCCCTGAAGTGGAGCTCAGTGCTAGCCCCTTAGCCTTTTCCTTTGCCTGCTTTCTTGCCTCCTTTGCAAGATGATCATTCGCCTCGTATTCAGCCTGCTTCTGTGCTTTCTCTGCTTTCTCCCGCTCGAGTTTTTCGGCCTTCCCACGTTCAAGATTTTCGGCCTTCTCGCGCTCGAGCTTTTCGGCCCGTTTTTTGGCTATCTGGGCTCTTTTCTCGGCGGCGTGTGCAAGCTTTTGTTTCCGGGCCGCTTCTTTCTTTTGACTCAAAGCCTCCTCCTTCTCTCGCTGTATACGTTCCTTCTCAAGTCTCTCCCGCTCTGCCTTCTCTTGTTCGGCCTTCCCCTTTACAATTATCTCCTGTTCCCGCTTTTCCTCAGCTAACCGCTCCTTCTCAGCCGTCTCCTTCGCGAGTCTCTCGTTCTCAATCCGCTCCCGCCCAAGTCTCTCCTTCTCCGCTTTCTCTGCTGTTATGCGTGCCTCATGCTGTGCTTTCTCCGTACTCTTGCACTCTTCCTCCCTACGTTGCTTCTCCAGTTCTTCGGCAGAAATTCGTTTTTGTTCCCGTATTTCTACCTCCTTTCTCTCTTTTTCCCGTCTCTCGGCTTCTGCCCTCTCCTTGGCTAGTCGTTCACTCTCTGCCTCCACGCGTGCCAAGGCGGCTTTGACTGCCTTTTCGTGGGCAGCTGCCTGCTCTTTAGCACGCTCTTTCTCAATTCTCTCTGCAGCCAACCTCGCTTCCTCAGCTCTTTTCTTGCGTAACCTGGGTGACTGGGAGGAAGTGCTATTGCGCTGTCTTCCCTTTTTGCTATGAGAAGAGACTGGCATTGAAGGCTCATCTTCGGAAGAAGAGGATGTAGGTATATCATAGATGCTGCGTCTAACCCCGTTGGTCACTGTATCAATAATTTGTGTAGGATTAGGGGGTAGAGGCGGTGAAGAGTGATGGTTTGGTTCCGCAGAGTCGGGTTCCCGGGGAAGGTAAGCTGAGGAGTAGTGTAGATCATGGATCTCTCCCACCGGTTCCCTATCTTCAACCTTCACCTCTATGAAAGGTACTTGACCCGGATGCTCGACCGTTCCCGTGATTGCGATCTCGGGCGAAGGAGTTCGGTTGCCCAACGAAGGACTCAATTGACCACTTTGCTGAGTTGCAGCCACTTCAATCATCCCGTTACCATCATGCCCGGCATCGGATTTATTATCATGACCAGTCCTCCGCCTCCAACGCTCCTCTCCCACTTCCCTATCGTCCATTGAGTCCTGAACCACGTAGTCGCTTATTCGTGGCCTCTTCGGAAATCTCTCCCTTATCCTCCCTCTCTCGGAGGAGTGGGCGGAAGGAGCCGGCTCCTGGCTAGCGTTACTGCTGACCTCCATCACAGCGCCTAACCTTCTCCGTTTCCGTGCAAACTGAGGTCGTAGACTTGACTCGGGAGGAATTGAAGACTCGCGCAAAGTAGATTTCTGTAGAACGCGAACAATCGAGTTCAGATTATCCTCTAGCTTATCACTGAACACATCCGAAACGAGATAACCCAGATCGAGATCGTTGCCGTTGGAATCCTGGATCTTATCGATCTTTAGCGGTCTAAATCCACCAACACCGTCAGCAGACCAAACGAAAACAATGAAAGGAATGGGTAAGTTTGGACCGTACAGTCGATGGGGATAGAGCCTCTCGAAGCGATTAGATATCGAGGTACAGAGGGCCTCTAGAGTAAGTGTAGGCGACGCGATTTCGAGAAAGGAACAGGCCGCCGGAGCCGTAGCGGGAGAACCGCCCGGGACAACATGAATTTGAAGACGCATGATTAAAAGATTAAATGTAGAATCGCATTGACAACTCCCTCTGAGAAAAAGGTAAAGGGTTGCCAAAAAAGAAGGTGGTTTGTAGAGATTGTTGGTGGGAAAGATTGGGGACGACGTGAGAGGCGTGAGGAAGGATAAGTTTCACTGGGGGCAAATTTCGCGAAAATAATTGTGCGTGCAGTTGTTTAGTTAATCTGATTAGATCCATCAAGATTTGATAAGATATGATATGTTGGAACGATCCCTGGTAGTGTACCGGTAACCTATGATGCCCTAGCCTACAATAATAATAATGCAATAATAATGTGAGGCTCTGCTAATAACCCCAACCCCTTCAAAATAATTTTCCAAGCAATACCGGTTTACTCGAGTATGATACTTCTCGTACCGGTATTCCCGTAAACCCCCTACTCGCGCTGAGAAAAAGTCTCCGGGCAAGCATGCCAAGACCGAGCACAAATTTTGAAACAGCCGCTGTAGCATTGGCATATCACAAAACTAAAGTCTGTGTACCGGTATCGCTTAGCCAATCCATCGCCACTGGCATTCCCTCTCCAAAGTCTCAAATACTATACTCTCATCTCTTACAAACTGTTAGGCGGAGACAACCTGATAGACTTCAGAGTTGTCTAGGCCGATCAAGATTCGTTTTTATAGACAGAGATTGTCTAGGAAGGCTCGAACTTCACTCGTTTCGTTTATGACTACTAAGAGCGAAGTAAAGTAGGGTAAAGTAAAGTAAAATCGTAAGAACAATATTATATTGTTAAGGTCTCTTCTCCGTTGCTTGATGATGTCTAAAGCTTGGGAGGCACTTCGATATTTATATTCCGCGTCTGAGTGTTCGCGGACTACATCTAACTAACATACAACCATGTACCTTTTTCCAATATAACTCGCAACATCGGGTTTTCTTCTAAGGTGCGAACACCTGGAGACCCTGAAAATCATCACACCCTCTTTGATAATTATAATATGACTATTTGGAAGTCATGCGGTTTCCAATAGTAATTATCCGATGGTGAGAGTCTTTTTAGACAAATGGCCCAATTCTCAAGTCGAACTGTGTTGGCTCCAATCATCTCCCTTGTCGACGAAATGATCAGTTTCGTCTGCGGGTTGCATCTGCGAAGATAGTTGTTATTACCGACTTTCTAGGTCATCTAACTTCAACTCTTCATAACTCCATACCCAACCGATAGGTCTTTTCTGGAGGACTTCCTACTTGCTTGCGGGAAGCCTTTCCATAGGATTGGTAGATAATCCCTCGGTCGGTAACCCTTGGTTGCCGTGGGTAGTAGGATTCTGGTTACTGTTACCGGTTTGGGAGTCACCCCTTCGGTTGTAGTATGTACCGGAACCTAGTTGTAACACTCCTCGAACTTCATTGGGTTCGATGGTAGTATTGTCAGGAGTTCCAGACTCTTCTGGTTATCGTAGGGTAGATGTGAATGTATTGGTCTTTCATTAAGATTCTTTACTATTCATCATCATCTTTTTGTGCGAAAACGTCCCGTTACTTACGGCCTATGCCGAAGATATCTCGTTCTTGAAGCCTAGTAACTTTCTGGGTTGTTGACGGATTCACTCCGTTATACTTCCCAGACCTAGCCGAAGGTCCCCTCTTATACATCCTGCGAACAGGATCTGGTCGGACAGACGGCGGCAACGTATACGGTGTTATTTTAACACCTTCGATTCTGTGGTATAATACTCACAGGACGCAACTTAGATCGATATGTATGATGACGCGCGGGCCCCGTAAGGGGGCCGGAGGGGGGTGTTGGAGACCTGAGATTTTGATTTCGGGAGAGGTTACCCTACCTAGGGTGGTTCCTAGGTATCGGATCTCGGTATTCCTAACACAAACTCATGACTCTCCGTCCTCCACCAATCTCATGTAAAGGACCTGTGCCTCGGGTCCCCAATCAGGAGATTCGTCCATCCTACTGTGGTGCAATTTTGGCCTTGTATCGTCACCAAGAACGCCACCCGCTATCAGAACGTGAGATTGGCAATGAGTTGGGAATTCCCAAGAGCACCATACATGATATTATCGCTCGGACTGAGATTGGTGCAGCAAAGAGTGAGACACAGAAGCAGATTTCTGCTCTGGATGACGAGAACCTCCAGCCAGCACCACGTTCTGAAAGGCCGAAGAAATTCAAGGAGGAGCAGAAGCTAGCTATTATTGAGACAGCAACATGGAATGCCAAGCAGCGCTATAAGTCCTTTGCAACATTAGTAAAGGAAATGCCCTTTGAAATCCATCGCATGTCACTTGCCTACATATTGAAAGTGGCAGGATATGATCACCATATTCCATGAACAAAGCCCAAGATCTCTCCTGATAACCTCCATAAGCGAAAGCTTTTCAGTGATCAGCTGAAAGAGCAGCCAGTACAAGGGTACCTTGATGGCTGGATTTCAATAGATGAGATGTACTTGGTTGTTGGTGATCATTATGGGCCTGAAAGAGTTATACGCAAGGCTGGTGAGCAGTACCACCCAGACTGTGTGAATATTGAGCGACCCGGTCAGACACATTGAATGTTTTGGGGCGCAATTGCTTACAGGATCACCTGTATAGAATGTCCTTTTTTTAGGTAGGAGGAGGAAACTCCAGAAGACAAAGAGTTAGCATTGGAGATGCTAGCAAAGGAGAATCTGATAGTGGAAGAAGCTATCTGAGAGGTTCAGGATAATTGGTATGAAAAAGAAATGGAGAGTCACCAAGCTCTTCCTAAAGGTCAGAGACCTCATAGCCGACCAGCTAATCCATATAAGATTACAAAAAAGAAAACGGGTAATAAGAGAAAGGGAGGTATCGATTGGTTCTGTTATCGTGAAAGAATTTGTGAACAGCTACTTTACCTGTTCTACTACCAGCTTGTAGCATCTGCTGAACGTGGTGAGAGAGGTCATGTGACATGTTCGTAAGGTGCTATTCACGTTATCGGTAATTAATACGATAGTTGGCAGGTGGCCTGCTCTTCCCGAGAGGAGGCGAGAGCTGAGAACTAAAGGAGGCTTCAAGGGTGTACTGAGGAACAAAGAAGTAACTGTTCAACCAAGTATATTGAAATACTGTTTGTCGAAGTCTGCTTTTTCTATCGTAGAAACAGGCAGTCTTTAAATACACAAATCTGTTC